GGTGACTTCAGAGGAAGAGGTGGGTTTGGGTGAGTGGCCTGAAAGTGACATCACAGGAAGGGGTGGGGTTTTGACGCAGGGTGTGACATCATTGGAAGGGGTAGAGCTTAGGAAGGCCCCCTTTCCTCACCTGTTCTCCCCCCCATGCACACAGCTGTGTCTCTGTGGAACTTGGAACTCAAATGAGAAGAGTCTGTACACTCTTGCCTTGAAACAGGCACTAATTCTGGGAGGATAACTTCAGTGGCAGCTGAAGCCTTCAGAAGGCTGGTCAGAGGAACAAGGACCTTTCCAGGGGTCATTTTGCTGCAGCCACGACATGACACAAATTCTTTGGGGGGAGGGGATTTCTTTGGCACCGAACATCTGGCACAATGGAGTTCTGCAGAACTGAAAAGCTTGCACTGTGTTTCATTCTTTTAAATGGTCTGCTTTCAGCATGATTGAAACACCTTTTAGTTGCACCATGCTTTATGTGGGTTTTTTTTTAATGCTCTGGCTGGGTTTTAATAACTTTTATGATGCTTTCTGTTTTTATGGTGTTTCATTTTCCATGCCACCCTCAGGCAGGTTCCCTAAAGAGGCAGCATAGAAAGTTTCTAAATAAATGTTTTTAAAGTTTTTTTTTTTAAAGGTATTGCACACATTTTGTCTTTAGAACTTTCTCTGTGGAGGTGGCCACAGGAGCCAGGGAGTGCATATGGCTCTCTCTCTGCTCCATCGCCAGCTTCCCCATGATCTCCAAGTGGGCATCTGTCTGATCCTAGCCTGCAGATGCCTCTTTCCAGGACAGCTTGCAGTTTTCTCCTTCCAGAGAGATGGGGTGTCCAGCCATGGAGGAAGATGTGGCTGGTTTGGCCACTTTGGAAGCTGGACTGTCCTTCCCCTCCCTCCCCAGGCTCCACACCCCCCACCCCAATCCCCAGGTATTTCCCATCCTGGAGCTGGCAGCCCATGACATTTGTTGATGTTAAGAAAAGGGGGGGGGGGCTTCCTTAATACTGGAAAAGGCTGGGAAACACCACCCTGGCAGGAAGGAGGAGGCTGACTCCAAAGAAAGCCCCCCCCCCCCACAAAGCCAGCCACCCTATCGCTGAAGGGCATTCCCTGTCAGTGACCCCGGCCTCCTTGCTCCCAAGTCAGCCCCCTCCTTCAGAGCAGGAAAGCCACGTAGCCCACTGACTTAGTCTGCCCGTGTCTGACGGGGCCATGACCCGCACAGGTGACACACCCCGATCTCACCCAATCGTCGAGGAGTCGGATGGGCGCTGCTCTCTTTGGCTGGCAGGTGATGCCCACGCAGCCGGCTCCTCTGCAGCTGCCACCATCACAGAGGCCCTTTCCCCTCCCCCACAGAGGGATTCCCACACAGCAGGGAGCAATTCTTTGCCTGGTGAGCGCTGAGGCTCCACTGGGGAAGGAAGGAAGGGCATGGGTGTGCTTCCTCTGGCTCAGCTTTGTCGCCTCGCCTGTAGAAGTGCCGTCTGTCAGGAGGCCGGGGTCTGCAAGGGCAGGGCAGACCTGCTTCAGGTGAACTGCCCACTCGCCCACCCAACTCTGGGAAAAACCCTCCACTTCCAAAGTGGGGGGATGGGAGGGGGCAAGCCTCACGAGTCGCAGGAGAGGGCTCACCAGCTGCAGTTTGGCCACCCCTGGTCTGTCCTTGTACCAGTGGGCCAAAAAGCCTCTTGGGAAGGCCAGGCCTGCTTGGCTGTAACTGGTCTTCCTCAAGCTGCCCTTCTTCTCTGCTGCTGGCTCTTGACTAATCTACTGCCAAGAGAGTTACATGGAGTAGCGCAAGGGAACCTGTCAAAGGGCCTGAAAGCCAAGGCCCTTCTTAAGGGTGATGGGTTGGTCAAGGCAGACCAAAAGAGCAGAGAGGGACTAAGCCTCTAGCCCTCCCAGGTCTAAGAACAAGAAAATCAACCCTGCAAGGCAGAATACTTACAAGGTGAGTTCCAGGAAAGTTATGTCAGCTGTAGCCGATAAGGGCCAAAGTACTAAATTCAGACTGAAGCCCCCAAACCCCAAGAATGCCACAAAATATAATAGATAGGGTTTATTAAAAGATTGTGCAAGAATACAATAAAAGACCAGTGATATAATTATAATGATAAAGCTGTGATATAATTATAAAGCTGTGTATCTAACCAAAGGCACTTTTACAAGCACTGGTTTGAAATCCAGATGTTACCTTTACGAGGCTGGGCCCAACTGAGTTTGAAAGTCCAAGTCAAACAGATGCTCTGGCCAACATGGCCCGCCTAGAATCGAAAGGTGTCCCAAAGCTAGTTGCAATCCAGAAAAAGGGTAGAGTCTAAAGTAGGGATGTGCCATTCGGGCCCCTTTAGGGCTGCTGCGGGCCGATTCAGATTCTCTTATCTGAATCGGCTTGCTGCCGAATGATTTGTGTTGCTAACCAGATCACTCAACCAATCAGGTTGGTTTGCCAATCATACCAGGTACCATGCAGCTTTATTAGGTCCAATTAAGCAAAGTCCTCACTGCAACAAAATGGAATGGGTAGGCTCAGCTCCTAGAGGCCTTGAAGCTGTTTGAATTTTGACAGGAGATTACGAAAAAGGCCTCGTCTTTTGACAGGCCTTGCCTGTCTCCTTGAGGCATGCAGAGAGGGACAACTTTTGCTTGGGGTGGAGCAGGGAGGATCTGTACGCCTAATTCCTTTGCTAGAGCTCCACACCCTTCCAGAGTTGCTTTGGCATCAGCACACAACCCAGTAGGTGGGACTAAAGGAAGACCCGAGAGGAGCCTTCGTGTGAATCCTGGCCACGACTATGAGGAGAACCTCTCCGGCCCTGCTCCCTCCACCGGGGTCAGTTGGCAAAGGAAGGGCATTTCCTACAACAGCCTGGATTTGAGTGGCTGGTGCTCTTGCCTCTGACAAGTTAGTCCTGGGGAATGTTGGTCACCAGGGCAACCCCAGTGTGCAGCTCAGATATACTGAGAACAACTCCCAACCATTCTGGGGAGACACATGGAATGACCTGCAGGGCCAGGATCTCAGCTGCTGTGGGAGCTGCAGCTTTTCCTAGCGTACCACAATGGCCAAATGACAAACAACAAGCTTGCACCAGTCCTGGCCCTCAGGCACGTTCTGCTTCGGAAATCCATCAAGGGCCATCAGTCAAATAAAAATCTCTGAGTGTTCTTATTGGAATGCTTACTTATTATTTTCATTTGTAGTCCACCTTTCTCACAGGGATTCCAGACTTATCCGCCGGTATATATAATTCTATTTTGGTCATGGACTCCCCTGAACATTCCAACACGCTCCAAAATCAGTTCGCTCTCTGATCTGTCATTCAGAGGGTCTCCCTATCCACTGGCTGCTTTGCCTGAGTCCTGCCTCCAACATTCTAAACAGTTTGAAGAAGAAGAAGAAATTGGATTTACACCCTGCCCTTCACTTGGAGTCTCAGAGCGGCTTACAAACTCCTTTCCTTCCCCTCCCCACAACAGACACCCTGTGAGGTGGGTGGGGCAGAGAGAACTCTGACACAAACTGCTCTTTTTCAAGGACAGCTGTGCCGGAGCTTGTGACTGACCCAAGGTCACATCAGCAGGTGCAAGTGAAGGAGTGGGGGATCAAACCCGGTTCTCCCAGATTAGAGTCCGCGCACTTAACCACGACACCAACTGGCTCTCACTGTTCCTCTCCCCCCGACAGCCAGTCAGAACACAGAGGTGATTTGCATATGTGGCCTAATTCGCCTTTGCCTCGGAACACAGAGGTCGTTTGCATATGCGGCCTCACTGGCCTTTCCCTCTAACATTCTAAACAGTTTGCTGTTGATGTTCTGAGGTAAAATAAATTTCCCCTTAGTGTCTGTTGGGGGAAACCATGGTTGCAAATCCCCAGGTGAGGGCTGGAGATCACTCAGAATTACAACTGTTCTTTAGGTAGCAGAGATCAGTTCCTCTGGAGAAAATGGTGGACTCAGTGTCATTATACCCTGCTGAGGTCGCCACAGCAAATTGACACCCGCCCAGAGCCCCTTTCTAGAGGTCGTTGTATTTATTTC